CAATCATGTGTGCTACACAATTCTCAGCCTGCAGCCATGGGTCAGAAGATCCTTGCATGGCTTCAACAATGGCCGCTGTGCTTTCTACTTTCGCTACCTCTTTAAAAATGGCTTCCATGATACAGGAATTGTAACACTACAATCGCATTAATGCTATCAAACTCTATGGCTGGTTGTCCCAATACTTTTGGCACAGAACTACAAAGCACCACCCTTTTACACTGCAGTACCTGTAATAACCACCATTAACTATGCAAAACAATTCCACAATTCAGTATAACGGCCACAGACACTCAAGCATTAAGCAAAATCAATAACTCTAGGACAATTTCACTAAGCTGCCCCTAATGTTCACACAATGATAAGAGTTACAAAAAGACAAAACAACTATCCTGCACAAAAAACAACATTTCATGCAAAAAACAAACGAATCGCTTTCCATGAACACCAACACTCAGCCGAAAGTGAACCAGCTTCACCTAAAACTGAATTCCTTGTTAAAACTTGCAGCACCAAACCGAATACAACAAAAAAACGAATTTTAATTCAGAACTACAACAATACTACTAAAACTTTTCTAAAACTAAAACGGAATAATTATTCTCGTAGTATAGAAATCAAAACGAAACAAGATGGCCGCTCAGCCATGTGCACCTCAATGCAAAAACAAACACAAAGGAAATCAAAAATGGCCGTTCAAACCGCACGGTCTTACACAAAGGACACCAAAATGGTCGCTCTGAGATCCAGTACAAACACAGAGAAATACACCAATAACTGAGCTTTAGAGCGTAGAAGACAAAAATCGCATCAATTTCACTGTCTCAGCCTAAACAATAGATTTCCGCTCAGCATAAAACACTTTTACCGCAAAAACTTAACACTGAGCACATCTCACATACACAGCAGCCCTCTCACCACACACGTCACAATCTGACCATACAATCTCTGTACAATCAACTCAGATCCACCACAAACTACACAACTCAAAAGCACTTACCTCTAGTCCTGGCACAAAGAGCGAAAACTTTCTTTCGTCGGGCAAAACTTTCCGACACAGCTGACAGAATGCCGATTCAAAAACCACAAACATTTCAAAAGTTGAAATACATAACCCGAATCAGCCTTTCCTCCTTCAGTCAGCTGTGAAAAAAAGCCTGCAGATTCCTACCAATGATTTGCCATTTTGTTATGGAAATTTGCTTGGTTAAAGTATGTCAAACACAAAGAATTTCCCCCGTGCTTAAAAGCACAGTTGTGTTAAGCTCTTTTGTGCAAGGACCGAAGGTACCTCTATAGAGTAATGTAGAGTCAGGACACCGGTCATGTTTTCATCGTGGAGTCAGTGTAGCAAGGGCCGAACAGACCCCCCAGCTCCTTCATTTATTAAGGTCAAAGGACGACGCCCAGTGGGAGACGGCTTTACAACATCAGCCAGTTAGCCCAACAAGTACAGGTACATATCAAAAGGAACAGGAGAGCACACCAACATGGACGAACAGCCATGTGGTCGCCCATCCCCCATCATCGTCAGCATGGACTCCATTCAATACTGCTCAGAGTGACCAGTATCCAGTACGATCATTCTACTTGTTCTTATAGGTTTGAGACTATCTGAGGAGACATTGCTAATGCGGTTATCTATATACGGTACCAGTATACGGACAAGGCATATTATCAATGTCTTCTTATAAAAGCAGATATGTATCCAAAAGGGATAGCGCAGTCCGCAATAGAGGTATAATACGCATCTCGTTATACGGACTCCGCTTCGCTAATGTGTACATACGTTTAAAGGCAAGGAGCCCAGCGGATTGCACTTAGTACTCACAAACCGGCAAACGCCTCCACACACTGCGAACTTGTCTCCAAGCCCATGAGAAGGTTTTCATACTGACGGTTTTACCGTCTCGATTCAACCCAAGTACCCTCTGCTAGAGCGTTCCTCGGTTACATGCGACACAGGGAGACAGATGACAATCCCTAAAACACACACATCCTAGAATACAATGTCCACATCATTCCATATACTAAAATTTCCACAACACTATCTATCTAATGTATAAGGGAATACATCTGTAAAAAATAAATCAAGGCAACTGGACTTGCTGTATTTTTCTTGAAGATGTTTCACTGGTCACCCAACCTGGTTGTACAGTACAACATGTACTGTACAACATGTAGTTGTACTATTTATCATGATGTAACCTGTTCATGTTAGCAGGGCAGAATTGTAACTCTATTACTGCACTAGGTTAAATGATCCACAGCACACACTTCTAGTACACTGCAGCGATAGAGTTACAATTCTCCCCTGCTAACATGAATAGGTTAAATGATCTCAGAGGCAGATGCATGATCGGATTTGTAGTTTCACTACAGCTGTGTGAAAGCAAATAAAAATGTTTTATTGTTCTAAAACAGTCTTAAATTAAAGTTCTTTATAATCATAAATAAATTGTCCTAAAATCATTAGTCTGTATTGTTTTTTTTTTTAAAGTCACCTGTCCCTTTAAGAAAAAGTATCGGTAATTGGCATCGGGACATCCCTAACTTTGAGTTACTTTTTCAAATGTTGATGGTTATCCGTTGTTTTGCATTGTTTATATTGTTGATTTAGGTCCCCTCATACCTAAGCTGTTTATCACTCGTAAATCAGTGTGACAAACAGCTCAACACTAGGAAGCACATTCATGTTTATGATTCCAATGCACATGTCAGAGTTTTGCCGCATGCATAAATACGCCTGTCGCTACATGAGCTACTTTGGGGCTTATTTTGGTGCGTTTTGTTCCATAGACTCAATAGAAAACTCTTGAAAAACATGTGTTGCAATTATTTGTGCGCGTATTACACACGTTTTGCTCATTGACATAAATGTGCCAAAATATGCTCACAAAAACTCATGACTTAACATACGTGCGTAAAACGCTCACAAAAATGTGCAAACAATGCTCAAAAAAGACGCATATAAAAGGCGCTGAATAGGTTTCGCTTAGGTGTGAATCCAGCCTTACTGTACACACTTGTTTAGATTTTGGAATGGGGACATTGATAGAGTCAAGGTATAGAGAGTTTTTGAGTTGAAGAAGTAGAGCTAAATATATAGATTATTTTTTTAGTAATGGACATCCACGAGTTCAGAAATAAACACAGCGTCAAAATAAGTCAAGATTTATCTCTGATGCTGTGTGAGCATGCAGCATCTATATGAATTTGCCGAGGTCACCCAAGCTCTCTCAAAACTGTGACCAACACCCCCCAGCCCAAAAACAGCCAACCCAATCAGTTATGGCAGTTGCATTCCCCACCATTTTGTGGCAAGTAGCTGTGGGCGGGCCGAGAAGGGGGTATCAGTCACAGTTTTAAGTAGGCTTGGGCAAACTCAGTCGAACTTTGTTCACATCAAGCCCCAACCCATCACTGGTCACAAGTATGGAGCACAGTTCAGAGTTTGTTTAGTTTCACAACTTCTGAATATTGACCTAATTGTGTTAGGAGCAAGAATTTCCACATCATGAATTCTGGCATAAAATGAAAGACACTAATAAGTTTTACTGCGTGAATTAACACATCACACACTAAAAGTGAAATAATATCATAGCAATACCTAGTATCCTGGTTTCACTAGCAGTTATTATAAGGGATGCACCGATATCATTTTTTCCAGACCAAGTACGAGTACCAATACTTTTTCTCAAGTACTCGCCGATACCAGTTACCAATAACTTTTTTTAGTGTCCTGTGACAGTTTTTCTAAAAAAATGCAGGCTAAAGATTTTAGGACAGTGGTGGAGCACCAGGGCCCAGTCGCAGCTGCAAGCACTGCCACCCTGGTAATTCTGCCACTGACTCCAAGCTGTAGAGGGACTACAAATCCCAGCAATCCATTATACAGCAATGCAGAATACCACCAGCTATAGGGGACTACAAATCCCAGGAATACATTATACAGCAATGCAGAATTACACCAGCGATAGAGGACTACAAATCCCAGCAATACAGTATAATATGAAGCTACATACTCTGTGCTGCTCACCAATGCCATGCGGCATCTCAGGAGGCTGTACGAGTCTCAGGAGGCTGTGCGGGGTCTTACTAGGGCTGTGCGGGGTCTGACCAGGGCTGTACAGTTTCACCTGGGCTGCGTGGGGACTCACCAGGTCTGTGCGGTTTCACCAGGGCTGTGTGTGGGTCCTACCGTGGCAGTTTGGCCTCACAAGGGCTGCATGTGGTCTCACCATGGCTGTACGGTCTCACTGGGGCTGTGTGTGGTCTCCCCAGGGCTGTGTGCTGTCTCACCAGGGCTGTGCACGGTCTCACCAGGGTTGTGCACGGTTTCACTAGGGCTTTGCGGGCAGATGCGGGCGGCGGGTGTCACCATGGCTGTGCGGGCAGATACGGGCAGCGGGTGACAGCAAGGCTGTGCGGGCGGAGGGTGTCAACATGGCTGTGCAGGCGGGTGCAGGTAGCGGGGTCTGACCTTGGCTGGGCAGGAGGCGGGGAGGAGGAGATGTGTGGCCAGATCGGCGCTGTAAACAGGTGCCACAATGTCTCCACAAGGCTGCTGTGAGGTATCAAGCATTTTAAAATTGTTATCTTAATATTAGTGTCACAAAACGACATTTGATTAAAGTTTATGCACCACAGCTGAGTTGTATCGGGCTGACCAATGGTGCATTTCGAGGCGTTGTGGAAAAGTGCAGCATATCTGCATCCGTGACACACTGCACCCTCTTCAATTCATCATTGTAATATGAACAGGGCACATAGAAAACAGGGAAAACAGAAAAAGGCATAGTACAGAACAAATCATACCTTTTAATGCTGAGTAAAATAACAGAACATGAACCTGAACTCACCCAGGCAGTTTGACAGTCAGCTGCAGGGAGGGAGTTTACAGGGAGGAGTTTAGACGTGGTGAAGAAATTCTTGGCATAATATAAAATAAATACATAATACTAAATAGTGAGTACCACATAGATCTTCAGTCATTGCTGGAACACAGCAAAAAAATAGAGGAAAGCAAAACCTCAGACAGCAGCAGCAACTGTAAGTAACACAGAGAGCTCATTAAATCACTGCAATTTATCAAGATGACAAATCCATGCAGACCCAGGAGCCTGCAATAATTTTTTAAGATTGCTGCTAATTATATTTATATGTTTGTGCTATGATTTTATTTTACACTTTCATGCCATTCTGGTTTTTTACATTTACTAGTCTGTATATCAGTTATGATCAACTTATAGTTGGGTCTCAGGTGGGGCTTCTGGTGCATCCAGAGGGATGCACTATAGCTTTGTTTTTGTATTTTTGCTATTATTATTTTTTAAGGCTTAAAGGTTATACATTTGTCAAAGAAAGTAGTTTGTTGCTGTTATTATTTATTAGGATGGCATTAATAAGATATTAAAGGCATATCACAGTTTCTGTACAAAATAATAAATGCACCCATGTTACAAAAGGAAAAAATGTGCATTTATTCATTTTTCGTATTGGAGCCTGCAAAGCATTGCAGGCGTGATCGGTGGTTCACAGATGCAATGCACAGGCTACTGCAGGCTATTCCCCTAGGTCTGTACTGAAGTACAGACTTTCTGTTATGGGGCTGGACAAAGTAAGCAATGGAGTACAAGTAAAGTGACGTGACCGCAGTTATGTCCTGTTAAGTCCCTCTGCTAAGGTGGTAGATGAGACTTTCTATTCACAGATCTTGTGAATGGATCTGTGAATGGATGGCGCGACTGTGGGGGTGGAGTAACTCACGGCCATGCTGAATTCAAATATATACATAATGCTGTAGGTAGAAGAACCACGCAATTCAGGCTGGGGGGCAGTGTGAGGGTGGAGACTGTGAAATGGCACAAGGTTCCATGTTACTCACTAAATATGAGGGGTTCTCTCCTCCAGCTCCTTAACCTGAGGTGCCGTGCGTGTCGGGATCCTCAGGCAGTCGCCGGCCAGCTAAATTAGGACCCCACCTGGAGCTCCTCCCACCGGACCAGCGGTGGGAGGGGCAAACATCGGGGCATTTTGACAGGTACAAGTACTTGTCAAAATGCCCTGTCTTTTCCGCCCTCACCCTGCAGCGCCGTAAGGTGGCCGCCTGACTTGCCTTGCGATAGCGCCGGGCCTGGTGATGCCAGCCATTACTATATATTGAAGTCAGTATTATGATGGTGAGGTATTGCAATGTCACGGTCAATATTATGATTAATAAACACGTGTTTAAAATATGATTAATAATAATTAATTTATAATTAGATAAACTAAATGGCATAATCTTAGCATTAACCGTCAATGGGCATAAACCTATTAACTCTTTCTCTGCCAGAGAATTATTTTACTTTTTTTGCAAACATTTTGGTGCTAAAAATTGCTTAAAGCCCCCAAAATTAAATATTTTCTGATACCTTAGGGCATGAAATAATGGCAGGTGCCTTTTTTATGTTGCATGATATTAACGCAATTGTTTATTAAACCAGAGCTTAAGGAAAAAATGCATTCAAATTAATTGTAGTGTGCACACACACACGCAATAGAATACCCACTTTTTCAATATAATATAAAAGAGGAGGTTCCATCAAGTAAATAGATACTGAACATGTAAAGCGTCAAAATAACGTTCACCTGTAAAGGAGCAAAAAACGTTGGTACCTAATATTGACCAAAAGCAACACTTTAAAAGTCTTTTTACAGGTTATCAGTTTGGAGTTAACCATGATGGCCCCAGAACTCTTGCTATCACTTCAGTGTGTGACACCTAACGTGTGGTGCAAACATTGTTTTTATACGTAAGTGCACCTGACACATGCATTTACATTCATATGTGCCTGCACATGGGGGGGCTTTAAAAAAAATTGGGGGCTATTTTTTATTAATTAAAACATTATACTGCCCTAAGTAAATTTTAACAGATGTGTATAAATGAATAAACAAACAAATAAACAAATAAATAAATAAATGTGCATGCATTTATGAAACTGATTGTGTTTTCTTTGTATTACTTGCAGTATTAAGCACTTTACCACTTTAACATTTAGGGGGTCATTGTGGGTGTTATGAGATTATGTACCTATAGATTAAATTATTTTTGTTTGTGTATGTAACAGAGCACAGAACATTTTGGAAGACAATACTGTGAGCGTAAGACATGTAGAACTTTTTGAGTTTTATACTTCATGGTTAAACTTTTAATAATTACAACATCACCATAGATAGCACAGTCATCAGATACCACACCCCAATAATTTTTTTTTTTAATCAAAGATGTTTATTGATTTTGACGTAACAGGGCACATTTCCAGAGACAGTGGGATCACACGGTTACAACTTACAGCACGCAGTGCAAAGAGTTACAGAGTGTATTGGGATAGGCAGAGCTCAAGTTGTAAACAACGTACAGCACGCAGTACAAAGAGTTACACAGTGTATTGGGATAGGCAGAGCTCAAGTTGTAAACAAAATGACAGGTATCGCTGGTGTAGTAGGCTCGCCTGTCGAGCAGATCAAGTACATGTTAGGGTCCTCACGAATACTGAGGGGCCACACCCCAATTTTTAACCAGAAAGCATACACTTTGACTACATAGTAGCCCTTATCTAGGGATTTTTAAGGTGTAACAAGTACCATGTACAACAGTCTATTAAAATGTAAAGTTGTCATATACATATACATATATATGCATCCAGACACATATGTATGTATATGACAACTATGTATTTCACTTGGTTATGTATAACCTGTACATATATGTATGTATGTGCATATGTACGTGAATGCATTTGCATTTGATAATTATGTATCACACATGGTAATTTCAGCTGACTTATGGTTTGATATTAATATATTAAATCTTTTATAGCTATATCACCAAATACAGTAAAGTCTGATGAAGCAGATTTTATTCTGTAAAACACGTCACACTAATTATCTCCGGCTGTGATACAGTACCACGTCTAGCTCTCACATGAAATACCTATATCTATAGGATTGGACAACATGTAATGATACCATGGACTTTAAAACTCTGTACAGATAAAATGATGATCTGACATTGGCAGAAATGTGCTAAGCTGGGTTGTTTCTCCACATGCTGATTTTATGACTGACTTTTTAGATTGTTAAAAATAAAATGTATACATTTTAATGGACCTTTGTAAAGGGTACTTGTTACACCTTAAAAATCCCTACAAACGAGCTACTATGTAGTCAAATTGTATGATTTATAGGTTAATCATTGAAAAGGGGGGCAGTTTTAAACATGATATGTGACTCACCCGCCTTCTTTCCATATGACAGAGCTAGTGCTTGTTGATTGGCCGTGTGCTCTCACATGGGGGCAAGGTTGGAGTCATCAGCCTGTGAAAGCTCCAATTAGAGCTACTCAGAGCTTAAATAAAAAAGGAACTCTGGGCACAATTTTTTTTAACCCTTCTAGTGGGACAGGTCCCCAGCTCTGCTAGAGTGTAAACAACAATCCCAGCGGAACTTGGTGAGGTAATTTTCCTATTTGGGCAATGATGTCACCCAGGATCCCTTCCGCCTCATTTCTTACAGAGGTTGGCAAGGTTCTGTCCTTTAGAGGCAGTAGTGATACTTCCGCTAAATTATAGACTTTTGGCTACATTGACCAGAGGTTCGGGTGGGCAAACCGGACACATTTGGCCAGTTAGTTTGCCTGATCACTGAGCTGCAAACAGGCTGGGTTTGAGTGGAAAACAGGTTCAACCCGAAGCTTATGCATAATGCCAAACATGAAGCATATAAATATTGTTAGGCTAGCCAGTAAAATTACTCAAACAAGAATGTAGGCATCGTTCTAATTGTTACCAAATTCCACAATTATACAGGTAAAATACATGAAATTATTAAAGAAATTCTGTATGTGTCAATACTGCATCCGGATAAAGTATAAGGGCTGGATGATGTATGATTCTTGACAATACACGTAGGAAAATCACCCTCTGAAGTTCCATCTTCTATCTACTATGGTGATATTGATGAATCACAGAAAAGAGACCCATTTTGACAATAGCAGGCTTCATTGTTGAAGTAAACTACAGTATGCCCACAGATGGTGCTGAGAATTATTTTTCGACCACATCTGTGTTGAATTCACCAGCAGTTTTGCTAAACAGGCTGAAAAGTGGTAACATCAATAAACCCGAATCGTGGGCACTTCACGATGGAGAAGTACAGTATATGTCTCCAGTCGTGAAGGGGTTAAAGAGTATAAATTACTACTATATAAATCTAATTATGCATGGCTTTAAGGTAATTTTTTAACTGAATTTAGTGTACTTCTAGCTTTTCAGAACTGAACTTGCAATGTTCGGAGCAAATTTAGCATTTTCCCAAACACATTCAGCAACCCTACTGAGAATCCACAGACTTTGCACAAAGCTAGGTATAGTGTTTGTTATCTAGTTCAGCTTTTATTTACAAACACTTTGTACATTCACAATAACGAGCAGACATAGGCAATAATCTTTTTACTTTACATGTTTATATGTAGTTTTGTCTGTTTACAAAATAATCCACAAAAAATAGGACGTAGAAAGTGCACTAGAAAGTACGCTTGAACTGCCATACCAGAATTGTAGAAAGTGGTAATGAGTACACTTACTGCATGTACTGTATATAAATGCCTTGAGCATACTCTAATCTCTCCTGTCCTGTCCAATGCTAGGCTGAACTGACAGCCAAACCTCTGTCAATTCCAGGCAGCGTCAAAGCTTGCCACTAAACACCATCCACACATTTCTATTGGCCCATCACTATGATGGGCTATCACACTGACCAATAGGAATGTGTAGGAGGCAGGTGTGATGGTAATAAGGTTTGAGCATATCATTATTAACTATGAAATTCTCTCTTCCCTCATCTTAAAAAAATGCAGCCTTCGACAAACTTAAATTGACCTCAGGCTGCTCTAATTCCATCAACGGGATATCTTCTAATCTGGGTCTGTGACCTTTATAGATCTTAATGAAGCACTGAAACCTGATTGTTTATTTAGAACTTTGCCTAGACCTATTGTGGAATAG